CTTCAAATGTATTTGGTCTGTCATTTTTATTTGGTTGAGTGATCACAACAAGCGCATTTTTACCTAAGCTTCATTGGACTATGAAGATGTTAAATTGTGTTTCATTTCTTCAGCCATGGGAACCTATGGATGAGAGCAGTCCGTTTACAACAGGTGGCAGAAACACAGTAAGTTATATTTTAGGGACATATCATAGCATGATGTGTGTACATGTATCAATAGTAATTAACCTTCATTGCATTTCATAAGTATGGATTGGTGACATGTTGAATGTGGATATTTGTAAATTATGTGGTTATGGAACATGTCCAATGAAGTTTTTTTTTTTTTTCAAGATGCTTGTTTTAAAATGTTGAATATACTGGATTGGAAATAATTATTAGACCACCTTTGCTTTCTTCATATGACTTCATATGTTCAAATACCCATTAATATGTTTTTTCATTGTCCTTTAAGTAATGGTGTTGGGTCTTGCACTTGCAAATGAAGTAAACAGGTACAACTTTTTATTATGTCACACCACAATCCACAGATTTTTATCTCAAACCTTTTAGTAAAATATTTTGATAATTAAAATAACTGTAGAATAGTCAATTATTAAGTTTCATTTTACTCTTTTCTCTGTTTTCAGGTTATGGATTTGGATGACAACAGCAACAATCCAAGCACCAGTGAATGTCCCTGTCCAGAGCCCTGTTACAGGTGTGTAATGGCTTCTGTCATAAAGAAGAAGGGTGTGTGTTGTGTCATCATGACAAGGTGATACTGATAGATCTATTGTGTCATCTAAAGTGCATTTATTTACTTCGAATGTTGTAAATATAACTTCTGACATAAATGGAATGTTTTTGTGAAGGACAGTTGGAAGTTCCCCCCTCCATCTATATTGTGTGCACGTTTTGCTCCACAGAGACTACACCAACTCTTTGAGCCCATTGTTATTGATGATGATGATGATGATGATGATGATGATGATGAGGGATTGAATATTTAACCGAAGACAAAAAGCAAGACCTGCCCCAGAAGAACATGCGTTAGTAATTTTAATATTTTGTATTAAATTAACCAGCATCCTGCTCATGCATAATTACATAATGCTAAGTGTGATCAGTCAACTGCTTTAAAATATTTTTTTTCTAGAGAAACAAATGTGCAGCCACATGATTATTGCAGAACTGGCCATGGGTATGACCACAAGAAAGTCAGCCGGTTCAATATATGTCGGACTGATGTGTGGGATGGAGCTGTTCGGGGCTTTCAGAGGAGCACATACTCCGACAAGAATGACATGTTCATCAAATTTAACGATGATGCTGGCTGGTTGGAGGAAGGGTTGGACACAGGTGGCCCGAGGCGTGAGTTTCTCACGCTTCTCATGGCCATTCTGAGAAATCGCCCGATCTTTGATGGACCCCCAGAAAGTCGTTACATTGTGTGCAATTCGAGAGGTGAGACATTTTTTTGGGTTTGTGAAGTGGTAGTACTTCTAAATCAAAATTTGCTGAAAAATCAGCTTATGTTTTTGTCATAAGCAGATCTAAGATTTAATTACCCACAGTAATTCTGTGCTCTGTACAACAGCTGCCAGGGAAGATGAGTATTTTTTAGCAGGAAAGATGATTGCCGTATGTATTGTACATGGGGGACCAGCACCACATTTTCTCTCAAAGAACCTGGTCAACTACATGATAGGGAATCCAAGTTTCAGCGCCACTGTTGAAGATGTTAAAGATGAGGAGATAGGGAAAGTTCTGAAACAGGTAGGAAATTACCTAGGCATAGGGAATAGATTTATTGTATGCCAACTGGAGATTATTTTCATTTTATTTATTATTATTTCAGATTGAGATTACGAAATGATTATGACAAAGTACCAAGTTTGTTTTATCAAAGCTGACAAATGTTTTTGCTGTGAAAGGCCCGATTTCAGCCTGTCTCAACAGATGTTACATTACAAACACACAAAATGTTAATGCTATGTTTTTATTCATAACAAAGATGTTTTTAAATTTATAGTTCTGTACTTCTTCTGGATACTGCTTGTTTTGTAGGTCCTGGAAGCTGATTCAGATGAATCTCTGCTAAATGTAATTTTGCAAAACAGTGGGATGTTCCAAACTGCTGGATGCTTCAGAGGGGTGAAGGCTTCTGAGAAGAAAGCTTTTGTAGAGGAGTATCTCAGATGGTACATCCTTGACAGAAACCACAGTGCCATTCAACGGTAATCAATAAATAGTTATAAATAATTAAAAACTATTCTGAAGTTCTATGCTCAGTACTCAAGATCATTGAGTGTTGATCTAGAGTATCAATGCTCAATGTCAATACTGTGAACAACTGCCACTGACATCATGACACTAATTAACTAAGAAAAACTAATTAGGTATAAAAATTGGGATCAGATTAGAGATATGACATTAGTAGATCAGACATCAAATTTAACCAGCTTCCTTCCTTAATTGTTTTTGTTTTAATCTGTCGTAGGTAACACATCTTTTTGTGTTTTTCTGAAAAATTGTGTGAAATATTAGAATATACAGAGCAATACTTGCCAAATTCTGAGTTTCACCTTCTATCATCCATTCGGAATTTTATGTGCAACAGGTTTTGAATCGTTGTTCACCATTACACAGATTAATCATAGGCATGGCACATGAAAAATATTTCAATGTGACTTATAAAAATATACTGTTGCATGACAATTTCGTTTTTTGCACAATGAAAACATTTTTTTAAGTTTCGATTTATATTTACTTTTAATGATAACTTTTGAGCACTGTGGAAAATTAGCTTTACTTTTTATTTTTTGTTTATCTTTTTGACTTTATATATACTCTATCAATACAGTACATTGCTTATCGTTAACAGATTCAAAGATGGACTGGCAAGTCTTGGTTTTTTTGCTGCACTGCAGCAGCATTCCAGTGTCCTGTCCCCAGTCCTATGTTTCTCTGCCAAGGCTCTGACTGCTTCAGACTTGGAGACCATGTTCCAACCAGATCTCAGCCCTGTAGGAAGCAACAGGCGGCAAAGGAGGGCAAAACAATTGTCTTCTGGGCAGATTATTTGCTTGATTGCGAAGGTTAGTAAGAACAAATTGTGTTATTCTAAAATTGTTTGTTTTATTGGAAAACAAAAATAAAAAGAAATAATTTGTACAAGGCATTATCTATTAACTACATTGTTTATCATCTTTCAGAGAAAACAACTGCTGTATCTCTAGAGGAAGTCCTGATGTTTGCAACAGGTCTCACAACGATTCCACCAGCAGGATGATCCCATCCCCACATCTTGAGTTTTTGAGTGATTCACCCTTTCCTATTGCAAACACCTGTGCAAACACACTTAAACTGCCACTTTTGGAATCTTACGCTGATTTTAGAGCTAACATGGACTTTGGAATACAAAATGCTCCGGGATTTGGATGTTACTAAAATTGAAAAACATGGTTTCTTGGTTAAATGTGTTTCCAAAAAATAGTTTGTTTTGCAAAACCTTTTTCTTGTTATGTTCTTTCTCGCAACTTTTAGCAAGTTGAAACAAATACTCAAAACTGTTAATTAAGAGTGTAATGTCAGATTTTATCTTCATAGTTCAAACTAAATGCACAATTTTGTGTATTAAAAAAGTTTAATTCTGAATAACAATGAAGTTTTCACTTTATATCAACAAAATGAACAGGAGACAAAATATAAGATTTGATGTTGCTTGTTTGTGTTCACAGCCTCGCAATGTTTTTGAGCAATAAATACAATTCCATTGCTGACTCCCAGTCTTGTGACTGCTGTTGTCCATGTTGTTGCATGGCTTCCTGTAGGTATTCCTCGATGTCTTTATCCCACACAACTCTGTCACCTGACTTGCTTCTGGGAAAACATCCAGATCGCTGTCCTCAACAGGAAATCCACAATCTCTTGATCCATATCTGCAAAGTCAGAATATAATTAATAATAGAATTGTGACAGCTGTTTTCTCTATTTAGTACAAATACTTGGAATCGTCTTTTTTTTTTGCTGGCTATAGTGAGCACTATCAGTGACAGCTTATACAGTGTATCACAAAAGCAAATACACCCTTCACATATAAGCTGTACTCACACTACTTTTCATTGTGTCAAAGTGAATTGTTGGTGTTATCCCATGACAAAATATACTTTAATAGCTGCGGAAATGTGAAGGGTGTACTTACTTTGTGTACATTAATAGCTATAGGTTACTTGTACATAGATAATAAGTGTCCTAACAACACTTCTGCATTATTATGTAATGTCAAGCATTATTTCTATTGTGAAGATGTCAATTACCTGTGAGGCAAGAGATAGAGTTCGTTAGGAATCCCCCCAGGACATGATGCAAGTCTGCTTGGCCGGATCCTGTGGTTATTCCAGAGACCTTTGCATTCATCCAGGTCTTTCTGCAGAACTCTGGTGAAGCAGAATCTGAGCAAGCACTGGTGCTCATGGCTTCCGTTGAAGTTTCCAGAGTCTCTTAAATCTCCGAACAAGTCCATCCAAAACTGAGACCTGAGGATAAATTGAATTAGAAACGGTTCTGTTCTTTTTCATATTAAAATGATAAAAACAAATTGTCCTTCTCCATGTCCATAACATTGAAAGCATGCTATAAATGTATGTCACACTGAATATCGCGCCCTACTTTTCCACGTGCAAACTAAAACTTTGTATAACATCTGATACCAAACAATGAAAAATTATAACTTGGACAAAAAAATTGCAAAAGCCTTATGAAAATAAATGTTTGAAACAAATTCACTTATTACCTGGCAACACGATAGCCATGTGACTGTCAACTCCATAGGCACTTCCTATGAAGTTGTCATGACAACAATAAACAAATCACAAGCTTAAACCTGCCTAACTAGAAAAATTTGCTTCACTGACATCTGACTTACGGTGTATGTTGCTATAATCACCAGAACCTTGTTTTTCACACAAAGAGTTTGGACGTACTTTATAAATCCGTTTAAACTCAGACTTTATGCTTACATGGACTTTACACTGTGATCAGCTTTCGCTGTACTTCACATCTGAAATACACAGATGTACCCACCTTCCTCTCCTGAAAGAAGACCACCATGACTCGATGCGTTGATTCCCTGTGGATGATCCGTAACTGTGGCTTGATGATCCAGCATAATAATCCGTATGCGCATGCCGGAGGGTACATTGTACTGCTGCCATAGTCCCGTTCTCTGTGCCTAGGTCTGTTCGCAGTCTCATTGGTATTACGCCAAGACTCTTGACACAGTTTATGTAATGCTGGGCAATGACAGAGGGATTGTTGTTTGTTGCCCCACAACAAGCCACATCATTCTTCTAGAAAACCCATCAATGCATCCTGAGATGGCCAAGCCGAATGGCTTCAGTTTGTCGTAGCCATCTACATGCCATATGTAATTGGGCCCCATAGAGTGGTACGTGCGTCTGGTAAACTTCCTGCGAGTCCTCAGAGCGATGCCCTGAGGATTCAGCTGCCTCAGCAGTCTCATTACAACATCACGTTTGACACGCAGGTTGTTTTTTTGTTTGAGAACCTGCCACATGGTCCGATAGCCAAATAATTGGCCTGGTCCTCTAAGCTCGGTCATAATGGCACGTCTCACGTCAGAAAGTGGAGAGTAGTTGCCTCGTCTATGCAGCCCTGCTACTTTCAAATGAGCCTTTAAAGAACGCAGGCTAACCGACACTTCGTGGTTGGTCTGGAGCATGTCCAGTATCACCTCGTATGTATATCCTGACTCAAAATATTCCCGAATAACGGTACTGAGGTTTGGATCACTGAGAACATTCATGTTTTTAGCAATCAAGTTTAAAGCCAGAATAACTTCCGGTTCAAAAGTAAAACGACCTGTCGTCCATCAGCGACTTCTTAGGTCTCCCACTGGGACCTACCTCTTCCGTTGTGTTTTCGTTAATGTTGTTGTGTTTTCGTTAATGTTGTTGTGTTTTTGTTAATGTTTTTGTGTTTTTGTTAATGTTGTTGTGTTTTTGTTAATGTTGTTGTGTTTTCGTTAATGTTGTTGTGTTTTTGTTAATGTTGTTGTGTTTTTGTTAATGTTGTAGTGCTTTCGTTAATGTTGTTGTGTTTTTGTTAATGTTGTTGTGTTTTCGTTAATGTTGTTGTGTTTTCGTTAATGTTGTTGTGTTTTTGTTAATGTTGTTGTGTTTTCGTTAATGTTGTTGTGTTTCGTTAATGTTGTTGTGTTTTTGTTAATGTTGTTGTGTTTTCGTTAATGTTGTTGTGTTTTCGTTAATGTTGTTGTGTTTCTGTTAATGTTGTTGTGTTTTTGTTAATGTTGTTGTGTTTTCGTTAATGTTGTTGTGTTTTCGTTAATGTTGTTGTGTTTTGCACCTCAGGGCCACCGTATTTTTAGGACGTGTTTTGGACGACCTTTTGTATATATATATTTATTCAGGATGCATATCCAACAAAATCCACATCTAATGTACAGCATTTTTTCTTATCTTTTTCCCCCCCCTCTAAAAAAAACCCACCCACCTCCACCCCCCCACTCTCTCCATGTAGCAACACATATAGCAGTATTACATTTGGCACTACTCATTTTTTGAAAGGCCAGAGTTAAAAGAAAAGAATACAACAAAAATATTAGAAAGATCGAAACAAGACAGTAAAAATCAATACAGATCAGTCTCTCAGGTCCAATCTAGTTAGGATGTCCAGGAAGGGAGTCCATATCTGGTCAAACTTCGCCAATGTCCCACGTATCGAGTGTAGAATTTTTTCAGGAGTGCAGTATGACAACAGTTCGTTGATCCAATGCTTCTTGTTTGGAGGCTCCATAGTTTTCCAATTTTTAAGTATACATTTTTTTGCTGCGGATGACGTTAACAAAACAAAGTATTTCTTGCAAAATTCAATTTCAAGGACCTAATATCTCCAAGTATCCAAATCCTGGGGTCAGGATCTAAAGGAAGCCCACAAACTGTTGATGTTATCAGTATTACATTATTCCAGTAGGTTTGCAAGTGTACACAATTCCAGAGCATATGAAGAAGATCGCCTACAGACGTCTTACACCTATGACATCTGTTAGTGATATTGGCATTCAGTTTATTCAACCTATATGGAGTATAATATGTACGATGTAAAATGTTAAATTGAATTTGCCTGTGTTTTGTTGATATTAATACTGTTTGAGATGAGTTTAGTAATTCGCTCCAGTTTTTATCATCATAGTTGCAGTTTAAGTCAGATTCCCATTTCGATTTTGTCGAGTACTTGTTATAAGTTGGTGATGAGGCAAGAACCATTCTATAAACACAAGAATAAGCCCTTTTGTAGTAATACGTTTTGGATCCAGTAAACATGATTCAAGCAGAGTTTCCTCTGGTTTATCTGGAAATATTTCTAATGATTGACTCTTAATCCAGTGTCTGATCTGCAAATATTTGAATAAACTGTGTCTATGCAAGTCATAGGATTCAGATAATTGATCGAAGCTGGCAAAGACATTATTGGTATAAAGATCACCGACTGATCTAATGCCTTTTCTGACCCATGTTTGTAATATACCATCCGCTATAGGTTGGGGAATGCTGGGGTTATCTTTAAGTGGAGTGTTAACCAGTAATTGTATGTTTAGGTGCAAGAAGGTATGTAGCTGTAACCATGCATTGTGGGTAGCTAAGATTAAAGGATTTGATGTAATTGTAGAGAGTTGCTTTTTTGAGCTCAAGAAAGGGATGATTGACAATGATCTGGATTTCAATTCTTGTTGTTCTATTGAGACCCACCTTACATTGTTACCATTTGAATGGGTCCACATCCATAGAGTACGGAACTGGGAAGCCAGATAATACACTCTAAAATTTGGAAGATTTAATCCTCCTTTAGCATAGGGAGCTTGTAAAGTAAGAAGCTTAACTCTTGGGACCTTCTTTCGCCATAAAAATAGAGATATTGCTTTATCCAAATCTTTGAAAAATGTCATTGGGACTTTTAGGGGGATACATTGGAATAAATAAATAAATTTAGGTAATATAGACATTTTAATTGAGTTAACTCTACCAATCAAGGATAATGGGAGATCTATCCATCGTTCCAGTTCTGCTTTGGTTTTATTAAATAATGAGATGTAATTCCTTCTGTAAATTTGGTCATGCGAAGAACTAATATTAATGCCAAGGTATGTAAAACCATCCATACTCCATTTAAATGAGCCAGGCAGTAGTTGTGTCTCCTGTTCTGTCATATTAAGTGGAAACGCTTCACTCTTGGAGTAATTGATTTTGTAACCGGAAACTGCACTGTATGTCTCCAGGCATGTCAGTAAAGATGGTAAGGATTTAGACGGTTGAGATATAAATACTAACAAATCATCCGCATATAGTGCAATTTTATGTTCTTCTGTACCTATTTTTATACCTGTAATAGATAAATCAGATCGGATAGCTATCGCTAATGGTTCTATAGCAATAGAAACAAGCTAGGAGAGCTTGGGCAGCCCTGTCTACAGCCCGAAAGAGCGAGAAGGCGTCCGACAGAACCCCATTAGTCAGAATCTGTGATCTAGGGCCATTAAAGAGTGTTCTTACGTATCCAATAAAGGTTTCACCAAAATTCATGGTTCTCATGGTCTCAAAAAGAAAATCAGGTTCAATTCTGTCGAACGCCTTCTCAGCATCCATAGAGAGAATCACCAGGGGGTGTCTCTGTCTTTTAGTGATATCAATAACATGAAGTAACCTCCGGATATTGTCTGCTCCCTGTCGATTCTTAACAAAACCTGTTTGATCTGCATGGATAATTTTTGGGATTATTTTCTCCAGTCGAGACGCTATTATTTTAGACAAGATTTTATAGTCAGAATTGAGAAGGCTCAGAGGTCTATAGTTGCTGCACTTTTGTACGTCTTTTCCAGGTTTGGGAAGTAATGTTATTGTTGCAAGTTCTAACGATTGAGGAAGTGTTGTCTTTTGGAATGCCTCCTTGATCATATTTGTAAGGGGAGTTAATAATTTGTTTGAAAAGGTTTTAAAAAATTCAATTGGAAAGCCGTCTGGTCCTGGGGCTTTATTATTTTGTAATGATTTAACAGCAAGGTGAACTTCCTCCTCACTAGCTTCCCCATCTAGTATGTCTTTGTCAGCTGTATTAATCTGGGGTAAATGTAAATTATTCAAAAATTGTTTTATATCTACACTGTCTTTGCGAAGCTCAGGTTTATATAACAATTGGTAATATTTTTTAAATTCCAAATTAATGTCTTTTGTATTTTCTAAATGTCTACCATCATCTGTGTTAATACTCTGAATATATCTTTCACTATCCTCTTTTTTTATTTGCCACGCCAGGAGTTTGCTTGTTTTATTGCCGAATTCGTAGTAATGATATCTTGTTCTAGCCATTGCTGCCTCAGCTTTACTTGTACACAGGTTGTCATATAAAATCCGTTTTTGTTTTAAAACATTAAGTAATTCTGGGCGCTTTGTTCTTGAATGATCAATCTCTAAACTCCTTATATCTTTTTCTAATTGAGAAAGCTGCTCCCTTTTTTGTTTGTTTTTATATGAGACATATGAAATAATGTGCCCTCTCATATAAGCCTTGAGCGCTTCCCATATATTTGAATGTGAGGAGGTATTTAAATTTACTTCCAAATATATATCAATTTTGGTATTCATAAAAGTGACAAATTCAGGGTCTCTAAGAAGATATTCTCTAAATCTCCATCTAGGAGAAGAGAAAACTGGTTGGTGTAGTTCTAGCTTCATTTGTATGGGATTATGGTCTGAAATCGTAGCAGCTAAGTAAGAACAGGATTTAATTTGTGACAAAAGTGGGTGTGAGATCAAAAACATGTCAATTCTTGAATAAGTGTTGGACGTGTTTTGGACTACCTTTGGATGTGTTTTGGACTACCTTTGGACGTATTTTGGACCACCTTTGGACGTGTTTTGGACCACCTTTGGACGTGTTTTGGACCACCTTTGGACGTGTTTTGGACCATATTTGGACGTGTTTTGGACCACCTTTTGGACGTGTTTTGGACAACTTTTGGACGTGTTTTGGACCCTTTTTGGACGTGTTATGGACCAACTTTGGACGTGATTTGGACCACCTTTGGACGTGTTTTGGACCACCTTTGGACGTGATTTGGACCACTTTTGGATGTATTTTGGACTACCTTTGGACGTGTTTTGGACTAAATTTTGGACGTGTTTTGGACGTGTTTTGGACCACCTTTGGACGTGTTTTGGACTTCCTTTGGACGTGTTTTGGACCACCTTTTGGACGTGTTTTGGACCCTTTTTGGATGTGTTTTGG